GCCCATGCTCTCGGCGCCTAGCCCGGCCGGGCGCGCTACACGCAGGGCTCGTCCGCTGGCCGGCGCCGGGGCCCCGCACGCGGCTCGGAAACTTGCGACGCTCCCTGGCTCCCCGCCGGGCGGGCGCGCGGCAGACCTCTCGGTCCTTGTCCCCGCCCGAGCCGCTTATGTCCCCTCGGCAAATTCCCACGCCCGAGGAGAAGCCGGCAGGGCAGGTCCGGGTGCGCGGAGCCGGCCCGCGGGGGGAGGTGGCCGGCCGGAGCCGCCCGCCGCGGGGTCCCGCAGCCTTGGCGCCCGGGGCCCGGCTCCCGAAAGCTAGCGCAACTCCTGAGCCTTTGTCTGGCTCAGCGCTCCGGCCGCCCGGTCCCGCGGCGCCCCCTGCGCGCCCAGCTCCCTCTGTCCATGCCCGGGGCCGGGTGCTGCCCAGAGCGCGCACCTCCCGCCCGGGGACTCTGCTCGCCCCGCGCCCGCCCGGGCCCGGGTCCCCGCGCTGTCCCGGGAGGAGGCGCAGGGAGCCGGTCGGAGCGAGTGAGCGAGCCAGGGAGCCGGCGCCCGACGTCCCCCGCGAGTTCGGCGCAGCTCGGGGAGCTCCCAGCCCTCCTCCCCGCGCGCCGCTCTTAAAGGGCCAGTGCTCGCTCCGCGCGCCGGTCCGGGCGGGGGCCAGCGGCGGTACCTCAGCCGGAGGGCTTCTCGGTAGCAGGTGCCGGCGTTTCCTTCCGACTGAGCGGCCCTTTTACTCTTCCCAGGAGGAGGGCATCCTTGCCAGCTCGCCCCCGTCACTCCCACGGTGCTTGTGGAGAGAAGGTTTGACACCCGCCCCTTCCTAGCAACCCCCTAGAGAGGGAGGGAACAAGGAGGAAGAAAGACTCTTCTTTCTCCCACCTGGGGGGTGTGTAGGGATACTAAGGCAGCGGAGGGCAGGAAGGGAAGCTGAGGGAAGAGGGACCCAAGTGTCCTGTCTTAGGGGAAAAAAAGATAAAAATCTAGCGGCTTGTTGGCCCCAGGGGCCTTTTCCAAAGCCTCGGGATGTCACTGGTCCTTGAGTGACCCTCCTCAGTTGCCCAGTGAGTTTGGGCACCTTGCACGGGCAAGAGCACAGGTTTCAGAGGGAGGCAGTTGCACTTTTTGCCACTTACCTGCCGCCTCCAGTATGCTTCTGCTGTCTCCACACTTTGGCTGTCCAAGCAGAGGACATTGTTTTGTGCAAGTGAACTGTAACAGTGCAGTTCCACAAGGTGATGGGCCAGTGGGCAAAACTTCCACAGAGCTGAGCTGAAAGTGCTAGATTTAACCCTATTGCAGGAGCAGCTTAAGATCCCTCTGTGTGGATGCAGACGGCCTGGGGTGGTGGTGGGGGGGGCCGGTCTAAAGTCCGCAGAGGCTGTGAATCCAGATGGACAGCAGTCCTGGCCCCACAGACTGGCCCTAGGGTTGCAAGGTGAAGACCCGGTGGGGAGGGCAGGAGGGTGGAGACCTTTCCTTTCCTCTGCCACTTCCCAGCACTGGGAATGGGAACTTTCCCTACCTGAGGGCAGTTTCTCTAGAGTAAGCCCTCGGGTGGCCAAGCCCGCCTCACCTCCTGGAAGTCACCAGAGATCTGGCTGAGCTTGGAAATGGCATGTTCAGAGACCTGGCAGGTAAGGAAAAAGACCACTGAAAAAGAAAACAGAAGTTAGACTTTATTCAAAAAAACTATTGCAGTAGGGGAAGACAGATTCCACTATAGAACTGGACCCAATTCCAAATACGACCTGAACAGGGGTGATTTATAGCCAAGAAGCAAGTGGAGTGGGAGGTGGGGATGGGGGGGGGGGCGTTCTGGCTGAAGGTGGACCAGGGAGATCAGATATCACCTGTGGGGGTTGGGGGTTGTAGGGATGCCTAGCGTGATAAGATCTCAGGGTGGGAAATTCTGAATAAACTGATTTAGCAGGATTCTTATTAAACTGGATTCTAGAAGGAAGTACACAGAAGGGCCTCCTTGGGGAGAAGGTTCAGGGGGATCCTGACTAAAGTTTGGTCAAGCAAAGAATCTTTGCCAGTCTCCCCCCTTGCTCAAGTGAAGAAAAGAAATTCTTCTTTCCTCTGAACAACATAAGTCTATTCCTTATGTGGTTGGTGACAATAGATAATTGCTGTTCTGTACGACACACAAGACCTTTAATGAGAGTAATACCTTGAAGAAAAGTAGATGAACACTTAGAGATGGAATCAATATGTGTACCCAACTTCACAGAACTTCAGAGATTTACCAAAAGTCCCGGGACCTGTAATCCTTCCTTGGCGGTGTGAGTTAGAATGGCAGTGAAATGTTTTCTTCATTCACCTCTCGAACCTTCCTGGTTATGGCAAAGATGTCCGGTAGATTGTTGGGTTTGAATATGCACTAGTTACTTCTGACCACTGGGCAAGTGCCCCCTTCTGTAACCAGGGTCATATGGAGAATGGCTCGCTGGGTTTCTTGTAGTTGGCCAGTCACTGATTCGAGGCCCATGGTGATATTATCCAGGGACAAGGTGAATGGCTTCAGCAATGAATAGATGATTCTGTTGTGGAATCTAACTTCTTGAGCCAGGTGATAAATTCCTAGGGATGGTACCCAAAAAAGTGGCAAACTTTTCCCCCAAAAGTCGAGAGGTCCTGGATGGAACGCAGGCCCAGTTCTGTGGCTGTTTTTTCTACCTCACCTTCCCAGGAACAGAGATCACCATTCGGAGGATCTGGGATGTCATGGATACCTCTTGTTCTTACAGTGAGAGCGAGGTGACCCTGAGGGAGGGGGAGGTTGTTTTAGAGAGAATTTAAGAATGCAAGAAGATTGCAGGAAATAGAGTAAGGTGAAGAGATTTGGTAAGATTGACGAGGTAGCAAGAGCTGGTCCAGTTGGTAGGGGACAGCCAAGAAGCATGGGTTCCCCAGACAAAGTCAGAACCCTCGGGAATTAGCCAGGGGTCATAGAAATAACCATCTGATGGCTGAGGATAACCAGAGAATGCTAATTTTGAGGATGGGGGAGAAGCTGTGTCTGGAGGTGGTTTCTGTTTGGTTGGGCTGGGTCTGAGAAACCAGGTAGGAGGTGCCGTGGGGACATTTTCGTTCCCATGAGGGATCTCCAGGGAACCCTGTCGTGGCTTGGGGCTTTTATGTTGGATTTAGTGCCATTTAGGTAAGTGTGACAATAAATGCTCATTCTCGGAAAAGGGCCTGTGGTAAAATTACAATGGAAAAGACGAGACCCTTGTGAGGATGGACTGGAATAGTGCGGGGTTTTCTCGCAAGGGGTAAGTATCTGGGTTGACACGGTGGAGGCCGAGCTGCTTTCCTTTCTTGCTGCACCTTTATGGTTTTTCCAGGCTTCTGTTTCTGGCCGTTGAGGCAAGGGGCAACTGCTTGGTCCAAATAAAAGCCAAAGAGTCCAAACTACCGTTTGTCTCCTATACTCTGCATTTTGTCCTTTTCCATGGGAGTCGTGTTGAATAAGCCCCACACTCTAGAGATGAACTTGGGGACTGTGGAGCAGCCATCTTGGTGTTTCCAAAGTCTATCTGAATGGCTTAAACCTCCAGCTTTCCCCATCCAGTTCTTCCTGAGTCTGAAGCTACCATTTGGGCCATGTGGATTTCTTTTATGATTGCCTGAGGAGTCGTCCTAAAATAGTGCTCTCTCAGGGGCAGGTGAATAATCTCACCAGGGGTCTAGGCCCTGAAAGCAGGATGCAAGGGCGTAGTCCCAAGGCTTGGAAACCCTTGGATTTCTGGGCTGGGCAGGGAGGAGCCTGCCGATGTAGCATACTTACCAGTCAGTTTGTTTCTTTAGGTCGCGTCTGAATTTGTTGTGCCGTGTCCCTCAGTTTTTACCATAGTAGTCTACTGGGATAATAACAGTGCCCCTAGAAGTTCTGCAATTTGGGGTCTGTTTTTGACTGGGGGGACTGGCTGCTGTCAGAATCCTCTCTGTTTTACGTGCCCGAGTCACGTTCTACCCCAAAGGCATAGCAGCTGCAGTATGTACGTTAACCTTTATTCCTTCTGCTCTTACCGGAAGCCCAAGTAAGAGCAATTAACTCAGCAACCAGGGCTGATTTGACATTTGGCAGGACTCAATATTCTAGAGGTTTGTTTTGATCAGTGGTGGCATATCCATCCTAGAAGGCTCCATCCTCCTTTCAGAGGTAGGAGCCATTGACATGAAGAGTGAGGTCAGTGTGTGGGGGGGTGAGGTGAGGGGTGGGGGGTTCTGATGAATCTAGCCTAAGACAGGATCGTGGACTAGTGTTAGGGACACCATGGTGGGGCATCCCATTAGTGGGTAAGGGAAGCAAGGTGGCAGGGTTTTGACAGTGACATACGGCGATGTGAGGGGGGAGAGTAGTAAGATTTCATGAGAGGTAAGTCAAGATGCAGAAAAGTACTATGTGTTTCCATCAAGCAATAGGGTCTGTACAGCAGATGACCTCTGCTAAAGCAGAGGCAGCTGGGACAAGTTTGGTGGTTGTAGCCATGACTCATGGGCAAGGGGGATTATGCCTTAGCCACGGGGCTGAGATCTCCGGTGACCAATAAGCTTCTGAGAGCATGACCCTTGTGTTCATGCACAAAGAAAAAGGCAGGGAGTAATTGGTCAGTCTAAGTGTGGGAAGTGAAAGTGGAGAGAGAGCCCTTAAGGTTCTCAAAAGCATCTTTGGATAGGGGGCCCCAGATTCCCGCATCTGGGGAGGCCTCCTTAGTCATGGCACAGAGGGGTGAGGCAATCAGAGAGAATGTAGGTCTAGCCACATCCTACAATATCCTCCAAGACCCAAATGCCTATCGGTTGTCCTCTTCTTTCAGGGAGGGGAAAATGTCAAACAGGGGAGCCTTGGTCTGTGAAGATAGTTTTATGTGCAGCCGAAGTACCGTGACCCAGATATCAGACACACAGCTTAGCTGAATTTTGTCTTCAGCCACTTTGTGGCCCTTTCTTGCTAAAAAGCCTTAGGAAGGTAGTCCGTGTCCAAGAGAAGTTGCCATAACTGTCAGAACATAGAAGAAGGTCATCTACGCATCAGATTAAAGTGGAGTCTCCTGGGAATTTTAAGCCCCTCAAGCTGACATTTAGGGTGTGTGGGAAGTGCCTCAGTGAAGCCTGGGGGTAGGGCAGTGCAGGTGTGTTGGTGGTTATCCCAGGGGAGGAGAACGCATACTGGGATTCCTTATGAAGGGGAATTCTACACAAGGTGAAACACAGATGGAGGACTGGGAGGTACTGGGGTTGGAAGGAGTGGCAGACAAGATAGTGTTAGGATTAGGTGCCAAGGCAAGTCTGGATTTAATAATTTTGTTAACGTATTCTCAGATCTTGGGCTGATGTTTTTGCCTGTTTGGTTTTTTTAATGGCCAAAATGGGAGTATTGCATGGATTAGAAGTCTAATGTCTAATCCATGTCTAATAAACCTTGGATTATCGGGTGGGGCCCCTCCAGTCCTTCTGGCTTTAAATGATCCTGAGAAATCCTGGGGAGGCGCATGGAAACATCTATTTATACCTTAAGGGGTTCTGTATCTCTGTGTGTCCATATTAGTGGAGGTTTTTTTGTCCGTAAAGAAGAGGGAATCCTGTCTAATAGTTGATTTAAATATTCAGTGAGGAAGGTGTTAATTGAAGGGGGCAGAGGACCTCAGGGAAGTCAGAGCCGTTAGGGGAGGTAGATGTGGAGGGGAGGAGTCAGGGACCTGTAGAAGGAGACTTTCCAGGGCATGATAAACTTTTATCTCCTACTCATGGGAAGATTCCTCCCAAACAGGCTTCTGGATCAGCAGAACTGGCAAGGAAGTTGCGCTGAGCTTCAAGAGGTCCCATGGAAATATTAAGGGGTGGAAACAGAGGCAGGCAGATCATGAAGTAAATTATCAAAACTCACCACTGGTAAAGTTCAGTGATTCGAGGAAGGGGGCCAGGAAACAAGGTGGGGCTAAGGGTAGAACACATTGCCCTGGAGTCAGTGAGAAGCGTGGTGGGGTGCCCTTGAAAAGTGTAAGGTTATTTCCCCTTGAGAATTTGGTGGCAGTTGAGGGCACCGGACATGTATTCCTAGGAGGAGAGTCAAGAATTTTCTGGTGAGGACGCGACTCAGGTTTTTTCCCTCCTCTTGAGGCCTGGCACTCCCAGGCCCAACATCCTTCTTTCTTCAATTTCAGCAAGTGTCTCGATTGATGGAAGACGGTGATTTTGGAATTTGCCATAGATGAAAATTCTCAGGTCCTCCTAGCTGTTTTAATTGCAACGCCATCAGCTTGCATTCTTTATTCCCAATGGTTTTGAAATACCATCTTCGTAACGCTGGGCTAATGTCTGGCGCTTAGACATGTCTGCGTTTTGCCAGTTAATATTATTTCTTTGGAATGTGTCAGGAAGCTCTGCTCTGAGACCATTTCCAAAGCTTGTGGCCAGAGCTGCGGCTGTTTGGAAGGTCAGTTCCAGCCCCGAGAGCTCCTTCCTGTTGTCTCTAATTGATGGTGATCATTAGACACATTTCATCTTTGTTTTTAATTTTGAATCCATGACCAATCAATTTTGGTGAGAGAGACCTAAAGAATGGCTTCTAGTCATTTTTCTTTTTTTCTTTATTTCCCTCATTTTCTAATGGGAGTTAGACGTAGTCTGATACCCTTGAGGGTCTTAAGGTATGGTGTTCCTTTGACCTTTCCAAACGGAAGGGACGCATCCCCAAGGCCAAACCATAGGTGGAGAAGTTGATCTAAATCAGGGAATCTGGAGAGCATGCTCCCAGAACAATCCTAGAGTATCTAATAAATCTTCTCCTTTTCTTTCAGGAGTCAGGAAAGTCCTCGATGGTGACCTGTTAATTCTGACTGAGACCAGGGTTTAAATGGCATCTCTTCTGTCGGCCTGGCTTGAGAACGGGTAGGGGTCACACCCTGGGCTTCATCTGCAAGAAATGGGGGTCTGGTGCACCTTCCAGTTGCAGGGAGTTGAGGGGCTGGGCACGGTGTTGGTGAAGGACATTTTGGGAGAGAGAGATGGATATGAAGGAGAACTGCGAGGGGAAAATGGGGTGCTATGAAGGGTTCTAGGGGGTTTACTGAGTCAGAACAGTTTCTCTGAAGACATTGTTTAAGAACTTCTATAGTTTGAATGAGGTTTGAATCATTTAGTTGCTTTTTGGTTTCTTCATACCGAGTGAACAAAGCAGAGCATTGTGCATCAGAGAATTTTATTCCTTTTGGCCCGAGGGCTCCCCTTAGGTGGACTAATTTGGGCATATCCCAAGAGCCCCCAGAGGGCCCACTGTAAAGAGAGTTTTTAGTAAAGTTTTGCTAATGAGAAAGAAAGTGGACAGCATTTGGCCTTAGAAGGATATAGTCAGCAGGAGTTTGAGGAGAGCTTTCAGTGGGTTGAAAAGCTCCCATGTTCTTGACTAACAATACCTTTATACTTATGAATAGAAATATCTGGGACTCTAACCCAGCCTCTGTTCCTTACAGAGACTAGCCTCTTTGAATCAGAAAAGCCTAAGACTCACCTGGCCTCTGTTTACCCAGGACTCTAACACAGCTTCTTAAAAACAGCTGCTTGCTTGGGGCTCTGACCCAGCTTCTAGAGTATACTCAGAATCCTAAGGATCGAAATCCTCACTGTGTTTCAGGGGACATTTATTCAGAGCAATGGGCTCTGGAGTCGGATTCATCATCGGATACCCAAGCCCCAGCAAAGAGACTGGAGACAGAAGGTCTAGGTGCACACCGCGAAGCCTGGTTGTCATGTCGGTGAGTCCGATGGTGGTTCCGGTTCAGCTCTGGGTCACAGCACCAAAAACCATTAAGGAGAAACAGAGTCAGAGAGAAGTTAAAGCAGTGAGGATAGATTTTACCGAAAACAAACAAACAAAAAAACCCCACCAAAAAACAAAACAAAAAACCCCCCAAAACCCACACAAACTATTGCAATAGAGAAAGAGACTCCAGTAGAGACCTGGGCTCAATTCCCAATACAACCAGAGCAAGGGGGAATTTGTAGCCGAGGAGCCGGCTAGGGGGTGGGGTGGGGGAGGCAGGCCAGGGCAGTTGGGTATCACCTGGGGGGTAGTGGGGATGGGGAGTTTGATCAGATTTATCAGGGGTGGGGATTTCTCGCTAAACTGATTTAGCAGGTTTCTTGCTAAAAGTAGATTCTAGCAGCAAGTACGCAGAGGGGCCTCAGCTCTTCAGGGAAAAGGTTGGGACAATTTTATCCATTTCCACTACCTTTTCTGTGGGACCCCTCATTTGAGAAATGGATTTCTAAATTTTTTTTAAAAATGGAAGTGTAGTTGACAACACTACTTATTATATTAGCCTAGGGTGTACAGCACAGGGATTCAACAATTCCATGCATTCACTGGTGCTCACTGTGATGAGCGGGGTAGACTTCTAAAGTTTTTACTCTGAAATGCATACTGGGTGTCAGAAATGGACAACAGGCTCATCTTGGCTTAACTGAACACACTGCAATATTTCACGATATTTAGCGCCAATTGGTCAATTTAAAAAGAAGGATTTGAGGGGTGCCTGGCTGGCTCAGCCCGTAGAGCCTGGGACTCAGGGTTGTTAGTTCCAGCCCCACGTTGCGTGTAGAGATTACTTTAAAAAAAAAAAAAGTCTTAAAAAAAAAAGAAGAGTTTGAGTTTAGGAGGTTTCTAGTCAAGAGAGGGACCCAGGAACCATGAGTAATGCTCTTAGAGGCCTGTGGTCAGCTTGGTAATTATTTTCTCTCTGTTAGAGGTTCCTCTTCTGGGGTAAATCCTACTTAAAGAGGAGGCATCCCTTGTGACCTGAACTTGAAGCTCCCAATATTTGGGTTCTGGCCCCTGCAGGCACCTCTGGGCTCCCAGGTGGGTTTGTACACCCATCCATCACGGGGGTCTGTGGCTCTGGGGGTCTGGCCAGCACCCAAGGCCTCAGGGTACTGGCAGGACAGCCGCTGTGGGTCCTAGCCTTCAGCCACCCTGCATTAAACCTTACCCAGTTTCGCTAATATCATTTCATCTAGAACCTCCCCCAACCCCGCCCCTCTTGTTTTCTTGGAGCCTTTTTGAATCAAAGCACAGATGCGCGGTTGCATAGCCCAGCTTCGCTCTGAGCCCCTGAGGTGTTGTGAGGGGTTGTAGAAACAGGTGGGGATTAGGAGCAGGCCTGGAGAGGGGGAGGGGGCCTGCCTCAGCACTGACTTACAGGACAATCTGGAGCAAATTGTTTGCCCTCTTTGGGTTTGCCTCTTCATTGGTAAAAGGAGGGTTCTGGCTCAGGTAGGGGCCGAGGTCCCTCATAAAGGCCAGGCGCTGTGGGTTGGAACCAGGCCCAGGGCCCCCACCCCCATCCTTGGCTGCCACCCACCCACCCAACCCCCATGGGCCCCTCAGGCTCCTGGTACCAAGACAAGGAATAAACAAACAAGCCTAGGGAATGTCCCTCTTCATTGGAAACAAAGCTGGGGTGGTCTGGAGAGGCGTGTGGAGAGTCAAGAGTGCCAGGTGGAAAGGTGCCAAGGCGGCCTCGAAGATCACTTCCCTGCCCTGCCGGGAACATCTGAGGACACCCGGGCCACAAGTGTGGATTTTGTGCTCTCTTTGGTGTGATAAAATCCCCATCAGGAGCATCTCTCTCTTCCGAGCCAAGCCTGCCAAGGGGTGGACCCCGGCCTGTGCTGGGCTTGTCTTCTGTCTTCTGATCACATCTCCTCTTATGGAAGAGCCCCAGCTGCTTCTGCTCTGTCAGCGGAGCGCTGGGGAACGGGCGGCCTGGCTCCGGCTGCAAGCTCAGGGTCTGGGCTCCCGCCAGGCCCCCGCCGCCCAGCCTGCCCAGCCTGCCCAGCCTCCCCCCTCAGCAACGCTCCGGCTTCCTTCCTCTGTCACCACCTGCCATTCCCCGCTGATGAGCCCCTTATTGATCTTGGCCCATTTCTTAAAGTTGCCGCACTGTAATTCCATCCGGGCCCCATCCTCCGCTGGGACTGGCCCGGCCAGTCCGCCTAGGTCTGTTCATGGTGGTGCTGCCCTCCTGGGGAGAGCCAGTGCCCCTGATGAGGAAAATCGGGTGGTCTGGGCCGACAGAGCGGGCCTTGGTGGAGGCTGGCTTCCCTGCTGAGGTTGGAACCTGCAGGAGATTGGGTGACGTTTTCTTGAGTTGGGGATGGGGATCCTTCTCTGCACGCCCTGCCTGCCCCCCCCCGCCCCGTCCCCAAGCATCCCGACACAGAGCTGGTGGCCCTCAGTGCTGGCTGCACGGCACATTTGCTGTGTTCCTTGCATGCTAGGAAGGAGGCCAGGCTTCCTTTCCCTTTCCAGCGTGACCTCAAAATCCATAGGCACCGCCGACTGCCCGGTTGGAGTTGAATCAGCAGATGCGTGCAGTGGGGCTGGGGAACAAGGTACGAACGTGATTTCCTGTGTCTTTGGGCGGTGACTGGGAGCTTGCCTCGGAGAGCGCAGAGGTGCAGGAAGCAGAAGTGGGAGCCAGAGTGACAGGTCCCCTTTCCTCAGGCCTGGGGTGAGGCGGGGGATGGCTGTCCTGACCGGGAGCCCCAGGGCAGGACTGAGGTCAGGGTGGACCAGAGAGAGAAGGCATTTAAGCTGTTCTGCACAAGTGGAATACTCATTCCTCCCCGGTTTACTTTTCAGGGGGGGTTACTGGGAGGACAGATGAGATGGTTCTAGAAAGTGCTCTGGACGTGTTATAGCAGTGTCAGGTCTGAATGTCCGTGCTTACACCGATGAGGAGTCGGGGTTCCCCCCCACCCCCCGCCACAGGCCCTGCCCTGGGCTAGATGTGGTCTGTGCCACTTGTCTGGGGTGCAGGCCTGGCAGGCCGGTGACCCCACCGTCATTTTGCTGAGGCATCATTAATGCCACTCAAGGCCTCAGAAGCCATAACGGGGACTCCCAAGAGTCCCCCCCTCCCCCCACTGTGAGGTATGCGGGAGAAGGTGCGGGCAGAGGACAGTCATCTTGTTACCTAGCTGAACAGCAGTCCCAAACAAAATCCAAAATTAAAAGCACAATTTTTATTTGAACATAACTGAAACCTGTAACATAAAAATATCTTTCTGTCACTAGAGATGCAGATGACAACTGGAGGGGACTGGTCTTTTGCTCTGGTGAAGGCCTGATGGAAAATAAAAGCCCTGGGCACCCCCTGGCCCATCCTCCGAGCCCCGCTCAGAATGCCCTTGGCAGGCGGCTGGAGGCGGAGGAAAGAGAAGTGGGGGGAAGGCCTTGCCTCTCCGCCTCTTTGGGAAAGCCGATGAGAAGCCAGAGGTCACAGAGCATTGGAGGGCTGCCTTAGAGCCGCCACCAGCCAGGCCAAAATGAAACATCTGCTCCCGGCTCCCCAGGCACATGGCTGGGTGTGAGTGGGAGGCAGGGGTGGAGGAAACTGAGGCAGAAGCACAAATGAGCACTCTGCTCCTTGGCCCTGAGATGGCCTCTGATGGCACTGGAGGGGGAGACCAAAAATAAATAAATAAAAGCGATGCGCTTCAGGGAGGGAGGGTGACAGACCCATTAAAACACCGTATGTCCAGCGCGAGTGGGGAAGAGCCAGGGCATGAGGGTTTAAAGAACCCTGATGGAGGCCAATGGCCTCCAAATGCAAATAGCTGATGGGGGGAGGGTGTGGGGGAGGGGCAGTTTGTTGGAGGGGCTACAGTGGGGGTGCTGGCTGAGTCTGGGTGGGCTCGCTGGGGTGGCCCTGACGTTTTTTGTGTGTGTGGCATGACCACAGACCACAGATCTAGAACTAGGAAGCCCAGGCTGCCCTCTACTGGTGATTCCTGACAATGACCACACACCGCAGGGCCGGACCTGCAACCCAAACCCGCCAGGAGCGAATCAGCCTGAACCAGCCCCCGGGGAGGACGGGCAGTGGCTGCGCTCCAGACCAGGCCTCCCAGTGCACTGGGAGGCTAAGAGCCTCCCCAGGGCTTGGGGCAGGCTTCTCCATCTCTGCCTCGCCTGCAGAGGGGCCTGGGCTGAGAGTCTCTGGTGCTCACTTCAAAGGCATCGAGAAGAACTTGTTCCCGGACTTGCAGCGGATCAGCTCGGCGTGCGCGCGCAGCACCATCTCGGGGTCTTCAAACTCATCCACGATGTTCTTCCACCGGGAGCCAAGAAAGGACAGTCACATTAGGGGAATCAGGGACCCAGAGGGCACTGCGAACAAGACCAGCCTACTAAAATCCTTCAGGGGTTAGGCACCATGCAGGGAGGCTGAGGGCCGGGCAGGCCCTAGACTCTGCGCTTAGGTGTCTTGTCTCATCAGCTCTGCCATCTGGGGAAGTGGGTCCTATCATCCCAACTTTGCAGAGGAGGAAATGGACACTCAGAACCCAATAAAACTGGGATGGGGTCTGGTGGAGCCCGAAACCAGGGCTCTTTGCCCCCATAGCATGATTAGGCCAAGAGCAGAAGTGGCTGCTTGCTAATGGCCCAGGGCCTCTATCCTCCTGCACACACTTTGCTTGGTTTGCAACATGTTTTAAAAAAAAATTCACATTAGTGCTAACATTTGAAAATGAGAGACTGCACATAAAAATCTGGATTTCTGGTCTCCCTTGAAAAACAGAAGTGCTAGCGACACTTGGTCCACAGTCCTACATGGCAACATTCCCCACGCTAAACTCTCCCAGCGGTGGAGGAGTATCAGCTCCTCGGAAGGCACTGACGGAAAAGTGAACCGTCTCATCTGCTTATCGGAACAGGAAGGCTACGGGGTGGATGCGCCTTACGCCTGGC